AATTAGATAAATTAGATAATAATTTCATCTATAGTCTGAGTCTCATTTTTGTAAAAAATTTGTAAATTGGCTCTGGCTTGTGTCAACTCATGTAGTTATCCATGACAAATTATTAATAAAGATAAAGGCAAAACCTCACCTTAATATCAAAAAAAAAAAAAATTTGAATTTAGAATTTATATAATGTTATTATTAAATTTTTATATGATACCATATATGGTTTTGATTTAAATATATATAGTGTATTGCAGTACATAAATGTTCAAGATGTATAAGTACTGTTTTTTAAAAATAGAGGTAAATCGCAACATTTATAAATATGGCACCGACATTACATCTTGTCACATAGTTAACAGTCAAGTATTTAAATTTATTGTAGGTCACTGCACTGTGGGCAGAATGAAAGTAGTTTTCCTGCAATGCAAGCAATAACAAAGAGTAAGATAAGCTTTTTTTTTTTTTACTAAAAACATCGCCTTAAATACACTGCATTACATCTTTCTTCTCTGTCTCACTGATCTGATTCATGCTTGAAGCCATATAAAAATACTCTTTACTTTAATACTGATTTGTTAATATTCATATTTATTTGCCACTTAACAATCATAAACTTAACCAAGAAAAACCTGGTCTAACAAAAACAATACAGCAAACTATTACAGTTCAATCCAAGCATGTGATCCATAAAGTCTTATGATGTTGCAAATTGATGACAAACTACACATTATAAAGAAATTAATTTTTTTGTCAAGAACATTTATGAATGATAATGATAGTAATTGAAAGCTATTAAACATTGATTATCTATTTTTAATTGCTAAGAAATATTATCAAATATTATGCACCAGAATAAGGATAACCATTTAGTCGTAGTTATTAACCATAACCGATACTAGCCAGTTAGAGAGGCTTGATTGAACGACATAACTGATATCAATCATCATTTAAATGTAATTTCATACACTCATGTTTTTCCCACGCCAGCATGATGGCATGTGAATATGTACGCCATGTCAATATTATCTTAATTCCTACTAGATTTGGATAAACGAAAACCATTACTCATTCTAAAAAAAGATATTTCTAATATAGGAAAAAATACAGGCTTCAAAAAAGTTGAACAGGAACCATCCCTTTACACATTTTTTTAATTGTATTGGTTATAATTGATAATTTTGAGGTCAAACAAATGTACCAGTATGGTTATCAAAATTTATAAAATAAAACTATTAACATTATTAGGTTTGAAAGAGCATTATGTCTAAACTTCAATGATAAATTAAAATATATTAGATTTATGTTTAGTACTTTGAATCAATATAAAACTTTAGATTCTAATCAGAACTAAATAGTTATAATAGATTAGCAATTAGACTGGCAATTTATTAATGAAAATGATTTATATGAATTCTCTTTATTTAAAAGACATACAACTCTACTCAAATATTAGAAATAACTATATTTACAAGTATCATTGAAGAAATGTTGTATAACATAATAGCATTTCTCTAAATGACTTTGTCCTCCAACAACACTAACTACCATCCGAACTTTAATCTGACTTAACAACAGAGAATACGTATATAGCGATAGTGATTAACTAATAAATGACTAAATATAGTAATTAATACATAACATTTCTATGTAAAAAAAGTACAAAGCCAAATTACACTAAGGTTACAAATTAATGTAACATCGTGATTCTCAAGTTCGTAGCTCATTTATTAGCTAATTGAAAATGTAGTACCAGGAATGGAGTTTGTACAATACGACAGTACACAAACCTCCATGTGAGACCACACTATGCCCTCCAATTAAAGAAACATCGATCTGGTGTTACATAACAAATCGAACATTAAGCTTTTTGTGTAAACGTTGACACCAGACAACCGGTCTCAGCGTGTTGGTCGCTTCTCAAACAGATATGTTGTGTAACAAATAAACGGCTTAGTTGAAAGAGGCAGTTAGATTTGGAGAGTAATATATTTTATGGTCATAGGTATTATAATACAGCGAAGGCAAGTAATTATTTAGGGACAAGTTTTATGATAAGCACTAACTGAACTGTCCTTTAGAGTGTGAAGCCTTTATTATATATTGTTAATTACATATGTGCTCTTACAGCTATTAAAGATATTAAACTTATTATTTATCGTATATACTTTTAATGTCATATACTACTTAAATCCCCTATACATCATATATCTCTTTACTTATAGTTCTTCCTTATAACCCTTATCACCGCTATTACCCTTATAATTACTAAAGATTTTATAGGATTTTTAAGAGTGATAATCTTGGGAAGCCCATATTAGGTAGATGATCGACATAGCCATTAGTTATTACTGCGCCACCTCGATCACCTCTCTTCACGTGCTTCTGGGATCATGTTTCATAGATTACATTCCTCCCCAACTCAAAGTGAGTCCCACAAACTTCACAATATAAGTTGTCAAACTTCAGCACTTGTTAATCTTCTGAAATCGTCAAGTGTCACCTCCCAAGTTCCATAGATTTGACTTATACCCCAAGAGGAGAAGACATCGTAGACCCTTATAGCTGCTAGGTAATAGTGTCTGGTCATGATCCTTCTCATATGCGTCCTCTGGTCGTTGGTAGTATAGGCGAACAGCATACCAAGATAATAGGCATGGATCAAAGTACTGATCCGATTTCTAAGATGTATTGCTTGGGATAACAATGGATAAGTCGGAGTTACTGCAGTCATGAGGTCATGTGACTCATTAAACGGTAGTGGAGTAATAACGACGTCGTCAAGCATGTGGGCAGTGATATCAACGATGATTTTGTTTAAACTCAGCATGGTTAAGAGTTAATTATATTTGATCAAAAAGTCCTTCCACGCTTTATCCTTTTTATACCTTTCATCTTTTCCTCTATAATTAAAAAAATATTTATTTTATTTTTATTTTTTTTTTTTTATATCTACTAATTGTTTGTTCGTTTATTCTCTTCATTGGTCATTTTACAAGTTGTAATACTTTTTTAGTAGGCCAATATTGATGGGCGAAACTATAACGTTTCTGGTTATAGTTCTTAATTTAAATACATTTTTGGGGAGTACCTCATGTACGTAATATGGCCCTTTCCATTTTGGGTCTAACTTTCCGTTTTTACGACCTTCTAGCAACACTCAATACACTAAAACCTTATCGCCGATTTCAAGTTTGGGGCTTATACCGATTTGTTTGTCATGTCACTCATCTGTGCCTGCTGCACTTGTACGACAGCGGAGTTACATATTTAGGGTAAGTTTTCAATAAGTTCCATTGTTCTACGTACTATCGTTTCATTAGCTAATTCTCTTGTTTCACTTGGTTCAATGGGTAACCATGTGTTACGTCCATAGGTCAAGAAAAATGTGGTGATTTTCATAGTCGATTGTCTCATCGTTCAGTAAGCAAACAGAATTGCTGGTATCACCAAGTCCCAATCGGTAATTACATCGATTGTTTTTGCTATAGCTTCACACAGGGTCTTATTAAAACGTTCCACCAATTCGTTCATTTGTGGGTGGTACGGGGTGGACAATAGGTGCTTAATGCAGAATTTCTCTAATAACTGATCCACTAAGTGGTTGAGGAAATGCGTACCATGATCCGATAGCAACTTTTTGGGACATCTATGCTGACAGACAATTTCATTAAAGATGAAATTAGATACTTTATGGGCATTCGCAAACTGGATTGCCTTGGCTTCTGGCCACTTGGTCATATAATCTGTGGCCACAATGATGTAGCAGTTGGACCTTGGGGTAATGGGTAAAGGGCTGTAGATGTCGATTCCAACCTGGTAAAACAGGGCCGATACTGGTATGGGGTTTAGAGGGCCTTTTAACCTGTTTTTACCTCTTCATTGACACTTATTACAGGCTTTAACATATTCCTTTATTTCGATAAACATCCTAGGCTAGTAGTACATGCCCTTAATCTTTTCGAACATCGCTTCTGTCCCAAAATGGCCTCCCATTGGGTGGTTGTGCATCATTAGCAGAACAGCGTCGACTTTCGGTTTCTGTACTATCCTTATTAACTGATCCAGATAATGTACATTTAGCTTATAGAGGATCCCGTCTTTCAATCTTAGAGTTTTACTTAATCTAATTATTCTGTCTTTCTGTGCTTGATTTAGAGTTGGGGACACATATTGGCTGCATATGTATTGCTTGACTCCATTATACAGTGTTGGATCCATTGTTACTTTATTACAGCCAGAACACCGACAACTGGTCTGGATATTATTTGTCATTGGATTTCAAAATTATGTTCTTCAATTATAACTTTCTTGAGATATTCTTTTTTTCATTAGCGATTAGTTTTACTAATTTCGGTTTCGTCAATGCAGATCCTAGTTAAACTTTGTAGGCACATGGTTAAGTTTGAGTGGTGTCATGACTATAGCCTCACAATTTCTTCTCCTTCGTATATTGCTATCGGCCTTAATAACATCTTTATCTAGCAGTTCAGTATATTCCAGATCGATTCCAGTGCTACACAGGTATTCCCTTCAAGCCAATTCTTGTCGTGCCCCGCTAACGATCCAATCCCATAATACTGACAGTTTCCGAAGGTCATGTGCTATCAGTCGATATCCACAATGTTGTGCTATGTGGATGGTCTTGCATCGATTCAACACTTCTAGTGCGTAATAGTCGAATTCAGTTGGGTGGGAGTACACATGGTATATTTTACCATAGGACCTAGTCAGATGGGTGAACTGTAGGGCCATGCAATACCCTAACGACAGTTTTTGGAACTTTATTGAGTTGTCATTAATTCTACATCCGTTTTCCATACGAGAGGCTACATGTACTGGTAGGTTATGCCTTAATTCTACACCTTCTTCTAATTTTATTTTGCCTTCTTTTTCATCACTTTCTTCCCGTATTACTGTATATACTTCGAATTCTTTGTTGAAGTCCCACCACGTCTCTGTTTCTTCGTTAATCCATTTACTGTCATCCCAACCTTCGTTGTCATCACGAGCAGTTATTCCCATGTTTTTGATACTCCAACCGGTATATCCACCTAATTCTGTCTTGCCTTCACATTCCTTAGCATCACACTCTGCCGATGAAAGTAGCCATTCTCTGCATTTCTGTGCGCTACTATCTATTTTTACATTATTACTACTAACTTCCTGCAGGTCATGTTGTCACGAGAGCGCATCTGCGTCACTATGCTTCCTTCCCACCTGATGTTCTATGCTGTAATTGTAGGGCTGTAACCGTATAATCCATCTAGCCCGTTGGCTATTTAATTTGGATGTATGAAGCCATTTCAATGCCACATGGTCAGTTATTACCATGAACAGCCTAAACTCGAAGTAATGGCAATAATATTCGATGGCCCATAGTACTGCAAGACACTTCTGTTCTGTGGTCAAATAGTTTTTCTCCGCTTGTGACAATCCCCTACTGGCATATGAGATTGCATGGTCCTTGCTGTTTTCCCTCTTTTGTACTAACACTGCACCTAATCCTGTGCCAGATGCGTCCATATGCAAATAGAAGGTCTTTGAGAAGTTCAGATATTGTAGAACAGGAGCTGTGGTCAGGTGAGTCTTCAATCGTTTAAAGGCAATTTGCTATTCGTCAGTCCACTCATATTTAGCATTCTTTCTTAACAAACTATGTAAGGGTTGTGCTATAGCTGCAAAGCCCTTAATAAAACAACAATAATAGGACGCTAGTCCTATAAAGCCCTTAATTGACACAGGGTCTTGTGTACTGGGTAGTGTTTTACTTTGTTGACCTTTGTCTCGTCAGGTCAGATACCACTATGCCCAACGACATGGCCCAAGAACTTAAGCTCAGTCTTGAAAAAGCTACATTTTTCTAGGTTAATTTTTAGGCCAGCCAAATTCAATTTTATAAATACTTTCTTTAAATGATCCAAATGATCATAGAACTTTCTGGAGTATATATTGATGTTATCGATATATACCATCATGAACTTTTCTATATACTCTGTCAACACCTTATCTATCAGATGCTGTAATGTTGTGGGTGCATTACACAGCCCGAACAGTATTACCTTAAATTCATACAATCCCTTCCTAGTTACGAACACAGTCTTTTTCTGATCACTTGGGTTCATCCGTACCTGCTAATAACCGCTCCTAAGATCCAAACTCATAAACCAATTTGCCTCTCTAAACATTTCCAGTAAGTTGTCAATGTGCGGCAATGGATATGCGTCCTTTTTCGTTACTGAATTTAACCATTGGTAGTCTATACACATGCCAACTTGCCACCTTTCTTTGGAACGATCACCACGGGGGATGGCCATGGACTTTCGGACTTTGCAATTAATCCCTGTCTTTCCAATGATTCTAGCTCCTTATCTAAGAATTCCTGCTTGTCAGGGAACATCCTATAAAAATACTGTTTGATGGGTCTAGCTTCACCGGTATCTACATGGTGGGTTACGAGGCTGGTTGTCCCTAATTTATCAATGCCTATCGTGAGTAGGCAACTCTCTTCTCTAAAGAAGGCATGGGCATTTTCTTTTTCTTCTTTACTCAAGATGTCAGCTTGAGCAAATTTTTCCAACCATTCTGTCAGGGTGAGTTCAGTTTCTTCTTTCTTCATGTCGGGTACTTTCTCAACTAATGTCAAATAAATTGCTGGGCTGACTTCGTCCTTCCACAGGTTATCGTATAGGTCGAGTTCATCATCTAAAGACTCCACGGTGTAATACCCATCAATCTCATCTAATTCTTCTTCTTTATAGGTAAACTCGTCAAACGTATCGCCACTACCTTTCTCCCAATCGTCCTTTCGGGGTTCCCTTAAGCTTTCCATACCAGTGTGAGAGATGGGTACCTCAATAGTTTGGCCTTGGTGCTTTAGGATTAATTGTCGTTCGTCAAAGTGGAGGCATGCTTTGGCCTTTTGGAACCAGTTGGTTCCTAAAAGTAGAGTTTTGTCTGACGATTCTATAACTTGTAGGATGCTGGGGATTACTACGTTTTTAACTACGATCCTTACATCATTGATTTTGCCTAAGGCTCTTGTTTTGGCCTCTGTAGCTGTAACTACGACAGTGGATGATTTCGACTGTATATGAAGCCTCAACTTATCAACTAATTTTTTGTCATAATACTTATTGCCAACCCAGAGTCTAACACTGCTACAACTGGGTTTTCTCAAATCCTAACGTAGCGTCGTGCCACCGTCGTTCTCTTATTATCCTCAAATTTCACGTGACTGGCCTCTTGGACGGGTGGTAAGGGTCTTAGCAATGCTAGGACCAGGTTTCTCTTTTGATTAGGGTACTGAAACATCTGGCTTATCATGATGTTAGCGGGGGTGTTCATGATATCTTCTGCAACGTTATAGGAGGTGAGTTTATCAATCACTGATGGATCATGCTTACTTCTTGGTTTTCTTACAGACACGAATTCATCTTCTACCATCTCGTCCGAGGCTTCCTCCAAATTAACTAAGGTCACTCATTTATAGTATCATGATTTCTTAGACGATTCTCCCACTTGGATTTTGGTCGGCCTTGGATCACCTTTTTACTATTTCCTTCATATGGCTGGTATCGGTTTTCGTTCAAGGTGTATACTTCGTCTTCTTTTCAGCCTTCGTTATTTCCATAGGGCATACTTCTTCCAAGATAATTGCTAGGCTTCTTTTGGTCATTACTCGTCTTAGAGGTCTTTTCCGACAAGCAATGATGGGCGATATGCCCAACCTCGCTACAATTATAACACATTATTCCCTTCCTAAATTCATGGCATTTCTCCTGGTCTTTATCATTCCTCCATTTACTTCCATCACAAGGCTCTTCAGAACGTTTCTCACTAAGGGCGACGTAGTTCAGTGCGATCTGCTCAATCTTTTGGGATAAGGTACCTAGTTCCTCCTCCAAGTTCTTTTGGTGCCCTTTTTCCTGAGTCTGCTTACTATAGTATTCGCCGGCCGCGACACTTCGCGCGTTAATAATGGCTTCTTCTAGCGTTTCCGGTTCCGATACAGCGATGAACATTAGGGTTTTACCACAAAGGCCACTTAAAAACATCTGGATAACATATGCATTGAGTAAATCTCCTTCCGGGTCGACTCTTGCAACTAATTGCTTAAATTTCGCTGTGTATGCATCTACTTTTTTGTCCTTTCATTGTTGGAAATTATTCAACTCTATCTGTCACTGATGTCATTTCTCTGGCATAGCGAAGAATTCCAGGAAAGTGTGGTAAAAGCTTTTTTCTTGATCATCGTCATCTTTTTACTTCTTCAGCTGCTCCTTCTTTCCTTTCTACCAATCCGCAGCCAAACCTTGGAGATATCCGGACACGATCTTCAACATTCTCTGCTTGGACCAATTGTTAGCCACAGTGGCTCTTTCAAATGACTCCAATCATTCAATAGGATCTTCTTAATCATTCCCGTAGAATGAGACAATCTTCACATGAGTTAACTCCTTCCTGTCTTCGGGGTCCTTTTTGGAGTTTGCAATGGTAGTTGCAACTTGGGCGAACGATATAGTTAAACCTTCTAGGAGTTCTTTCAGCTGATCGTTGTTCATTCTGTCTTTAGTAGAGAGGTATCTCTTTTTTTTTTTTTTTTTTTTTTTATAGTATGGTTATGAAGAGGGGAGTTTTCAATTACTAATGCAGAAATTCGAATCAGAGGGGGGGTAGCTAGCGTTTCGAATCTCACAGTCACCACCAAAATGACACCAGATAACCGGTCTCAGCATGTCGGTCGCTTCTCAAACGGGTACATTGTGTAACCTACGAACGGCTTAGTCGAAAGAGGCAGTTAGATTTGGAGAGTAGTATATTTTATGATCATAGGTATTATAATACAGTGAAGGCAAGTAATTATTTAGGGACAAGTTTTATGATAAGCACTAACTAAACTGTCCTTGTAGAGCGCGAAGCCTTTATTATATATTGTTAATTACATATGCGCTCCTACAGCTATTAAAGATATTAAACTTATTATTTATCATATATACTTTTAATGTCCTATACTACTTAAATCCCCTATACATCATATATCCCTTTACTTATAGTTCTTCCTTATAACCCTTATCACCGATATTACCCTTATAATTACTAAAGATTCTATAGAATTTTTAAGAGCGATAATCCCGAGAAGCCCATATTAGGTAGATGATCAACATAGCCGTTAGTTATTACTACGCCACCTTGATCACCTCCCTTCACATGCTTCCGGGATCACGTTTCATGGGTCACACCGTATAATAAATCATTTAGTCATTAGAAGTGATCTGCGTAATTACTTTATTAAACTTCTGTAATGATTAATATATTTGTAAAGTCAAAACCTATGACTATATTTTTTCGTAGTAATAGCCTTTTTGCTTATTAGAATCTAATAGGATTTCTATATAAAGGGTAATGGTCGCTAATAAAAGTAGAACTTTTGTGAAAATATAACAATAGTACAAACTCCTTTTAGTAATAGTCTTTCTCTCACGTAACTAATATTAAATAAGATCTCTTCTTCGCTAAACTATTTGGTACAAGGAATCTTTGGGGCTTCATAGTATTAATAAATAAATATCGCTCTTATCATTTTAATACTTACGGTACTGAGATAGATTGGCTAATATTACGAATTGCTCTCCCCCACCGTAACACTGAACCAACTTGTTCATACTACTACGACTGGGAATGGACGTTGACTCCACTTTACCCTACTTCGGATAAGTGTGAGGCAATGTCATGGGGTGCGATTGTAATAATTATGTTGGGTTCTGGCCTCAGGATGAAAAGTACTGAAACATTCTTATCAGTTCTACGATGAACGCAAGAAATGTTAAAGTAACGAAGGCTATGTCTATAAAGAGGTTAAAGGTTAGAACAAAAAAGGTTGGAATTCAATGGGAAAAAGGGAGCAGAGTTGTGGTCTTGTACGTGCTCTTCTCACTGACAAAATTGTTATAAAAAGGGTGGAATTTTTCCCTCTTGAAAGCAGTTCAGAATAGTACCATAATATAGCCCAGCATAGTCCAAAATTATAGACAAGTGCCCCTATAATAATAATTATTATTATTAATAAGGCCCCTTCGAACCGTCCCATACAATAAACATTCTTTAAAGTCTAGCCTCGACCTTGTACCAAATCGTAAACCCGCCTCTACCATCTTTGAGGAACATTATGCGGTATAATCGACTTTTAAGCAACAATTCATCGCATTTGCCCCATCTCTGAACTCTCCCTATTAATCTCTCACAGTGTACAATTCTTAGCATATGATTGGGTAATCTGTCATTGTGACTTTGTGTAGCACCCTGAACAATTTTAAAAGGTAGGTATCAGGAACAAATGCCTCTGTATGCAAAATCTTAGAATTGATTGGTCCACGTGACTTATTCATCACTCAATATTTTTTTAAAAAACATAAATAAGCGCATACATCCGTAAAATCGAGATGCTATAACAAACGATAGTAAAAATAAGCTTTTTAGACACAAAAATTAGTGACCTAATATAAATTTAAAGGCCTCAATGCTAAATATTTGGTAATTTTTATTGGGCTAATAAAACGATAATCACTGATCGTCAAAGACTTTAGCAAAAGAATTTGTTGGTCATTTCTAAATACTCTAAATTATATGGTTCATAGATTTTAATATGTTTGCAGGGTCCCAGAATTTTGGGTCGGATTCATTGGAACCGATTGACGCTAGCTAACAAACTATATAGCAGTCAGACATTGAAATTCAAACCAATATTCAGATTGCAAGTACTATCAACTTCTTTTATAAAGAGTCATTTTCTTATACCAGGAATGGATTGCAATGAAGAAAATAGTTTCTAGTGACTGAAATGGTGTCTGTATAGATTTCTCCAGTTCCAGGTTTTGCGCAACTGCGTTGCGCAGCTACTTATTAACTATTATACATATTTTGAATACAGAGTAATCATCCAGACAATCAACATTATATTCCGGAGCACACATTATACATATTTTGAATACAGAGTGATCATCCAAACAATCACATTATAAACATTTTCGGTATTTATTGATTATATAATACAAGCCTAATAATGAAATACAATATAGGGAAATATTGATAATAGACAAATAATTATGACAAAAAAAAACCCCCACATTAAGCATCTTATGTTTGGTATCTGCATTATTTTTTACTAAAGTACCAAACAACTACTCCTAAGATGGCAACAGCCCAAGATATAATATAGTGTAAATAAGGCCTCTCCGTTATCTCATCAGACACATGATGTTCATTTGCAAATGATGCAAAGATAATAAAACATAATGATAAAAAGTAAATCAAATTAATAACTATAGGTGTTTCGGATTCATTATATTCTCCACTATTTTTGCTCCTTATAACCTAGTTAGATAAATCTTCTTAATATTAAACAATTCAATTAAATTAAAATAATGAAACTATTACTTACAAACAAACAAATTGAGCTGACTCCATGAAATATTAAAGACAAATATTGCGACATATCAGCAAAAAAAACAAAAGGGTTTTTTCCCTTTATTGAAAACAAAATTATAAAAATTGAACAATAGCTAAATTGTGCTAACAATGCATTTGTTGGAGTATCTAATTTTGTATTTCAATAGTTGAATTCATTAGATATTTTGGGTAAGAAATTGGTTTGTGCAGCGAACATTATAATTCGTGCATACCTATTAAAATATAGTATATTAGTTCAATGCAATAAAAGACTACATCTATTTATGAATAATAACTGATAAACTTACACGAAAAACATTGATCCTACACTCCAAAAGCAGAAATTGCAACAAGTGCTGACATAAAACTTTTTTTAAGATTATCATCTCCAACAAAACGTAAAGCAATAGCATTATCAAAGCTTTCCTTAAAATCAGTCATGTTGATAAAATAATCATGATCAACTACTGTTATAAAAGCAATATTAGTAAGAAAATCTAGAAAAAAATAAGAATTATAGTAATTTTTTTTTTTAGAAAATTATAAGCAAAAATAAATTAATAAATAACAGAAAACCGAAACTTTACAAAGCACAAAGGAAACAACAATGCTGATGATGGTTGAAGATTTCAAATTTTTTTCTGGTTTTTTTAATTCATCCATTGAATCTATAAAGAATGATTTTTATCAATTGCATTAAACTGAATTTAATCTTATTCAATACGAATATGGCATGTTATCTTACAGATTATATTATTCCATCCTTATATATATAGTAGACAAAAAATATATAATTAAACTATTTTTATCATAAATGAAAGTACTCGGGTCTTTATTGACATACCTGCATATGTAAATAGGATCTAAGTTTAAATTTTGATTAATTATTGAAAATTCTATAATAAATGATACGATATAATTTACCTTTATCATAGCATCGCTATAGTCTCCCAATGTAAGTGAATATCTATTAAAAATAGTATTCCAATTGCTAGCATTAGATAAATTTACTAGTCCGGCTATGGAAATAATAAGTAAGGCCATAATTTTGATCAAAGCAAGTGTTTGATTTATATAGACAGATAATTTGTTAGAATATATCTGGTATGCTATAACTATTGCTAACATAATAATTGCAACAATTGCTGGAATGCTATAAATTCAAATTAGGTTAAAATATTATACTGCATATAATATAAATCATTTAAAGCAATTATAGTTTACATTTTATTATCATCATAAGAATTTCCTTGAATGGCATAAAGAAGGTATCTGGCGAAAGTATAGGAATCAGCTATTATAGCTCCAGGAAAGATTGCACTTTTATAAACAATTGAGCGGATTATTATATATACATACATATATAGAACAACGATTTAAAAATTACTTACAAAATTGCTACAAAGCTAAATATATGTCCTAAATTCCTTTTGAATGCATCATCAATATAAATTTGTTCTCCTATTCCACGAGGAAATGCTCTAATACTCAACTATAAATGAAGAAGTAAAAACATTTCACAATAAAATAAATGCAAACTAAAATAATTTCACTTGCTAATTTAATCATTTTTTTTTTCAGATATAATTACCTTAATGTAAACTAGACCTCCAAATAAACTAACAATACCTCCGACAACCCAAAGAATTAAAGCAATTCCTGGTGACTGAATCTGCCACCATATAAAACCAGGGGTTTGAAAAATTCCTATTTTAAAATAATAATTATTATCTATATAAATTAATAGCAAAAAGTTTATAAACAATATTTAAGACAAACCAGCTCCTATAATTTGATTAATATTATACCCTGCTCCTGAAAACTTGTTTAGAACTTTTTCTTTTTCATTATTATTAGATGGTGATATTTGTGAATCTCTAGCAATAGCAAAAAGATTATAAAATAAAATTTAAAACAAACTAGCTCGAATGATTTGATTAATGTTATACCCTGTTTCTGCTGATATATCTTTAGATGGTAGTAAACCACCTATACCACTTAAATGCCTATTATTGTAAGATTCAGCCATATTAAATGCCTAAATGCTAAAAATTTTATTTTAAAATGAAAAAAAGACTAAAATGAATAAAGTAAATAAAATGAATATCTATTTATAAAAATTCGCAAAATGAAATTCTAGTTTAGGCAATCCTAAAAGATTTTTCCATTTATTTGAATAAATATATGTACAAATCAATGTTCAATTTTTATCAAACCCCATTTTAAGAACTCTAAAGCTATTGTTTTGTATTTATTTTTCTAAATGGACATATTTGTTTTTGTTTACCGAGATACAGTCAAACATTCCATTCATAAATGCGTGTACTCATCCTAAGTACACAACTGTTCTAAATTAACATTTCAGCTTAATTCCAAGCTTGCAACTTCTAAAGATGATTAAGTTTGACAAGTTAAATCATGGCCCTAATTAAGTAAAGACGAAATGGTTTCATTATTGTGCTAGTCTGATGAAAACTTGACGATTGATGAGACTTTTGACAATTTACAAACTATGGATTGTAAGTTTAAAACACAATGTTTTAAATCAGTTTTATATTCTAAAAGGTTTTTTTTATTGGTTTAAAGCAAATATCAAGTGACTTAATTATTATATATTCGATAATTACAAAATAATTGTGTAAGTTTATGAGAATAAAAGTTGTCTTATTTATGAAATAGATATCTTCGATCAAGTTAAAATAACGCAATCATATTTAAAATATTTTAGTTTCAGCTATCAACCCAATGTTTTAAAACATGATTTAAAACAATTCAAAAATCATTAAATAATCAGTTACAAAGTATGGATTGAATCAGACTCTCCAGGAGGTTAAACCTTCGTCTACAAACAAAAAATATATTTTATGAACCAATTTGTATTAGATTAAAATTAAAATTTATACGTAAGCAGTATGCCTATGTTAGGTATTAAGCGGAATTACTGTATAATGATTTTAATATGACACAACACAACATATATCTCCATTAGGATGTTGCATGCTATACAAATATACTGAATATATAGATATGTTGTACATTGTAATAATTTTAAATAAACAGGATTTAATAGAATTCTAAATTGTAGATTCTAAATTGTTTAAATCGAGTATATTGTTTCAGAATTCATAATGCACGTTACATAGATATATTTTGTGTAAATTTGCATTTCATTACAACATAAGAACAGGAGGAACCATCGTGTAACATCGACGTTCCTCCTGTTTAACATAAGTAGATTCAATAATTCCGTTATGACGTACAGCAGAAATCTATAATAGTTCCATCACGACGTACAACAGATATACTACATATGCATAATTTAAATATTATACTTATAAACTTAACAAATTTAAATATCAAATCTCTCCTGTTCACTCCTTTCTTTAGAAGCCCAAGTTCTGAAGTTTGAAAACCATTTGAAACTATGTCATATAAAAGTTATATTTGTCTGAATTTTAAACTTAAGTTTTAAACCATTTTTTATTAGACAACATAGTGGTGGCAGAAAAAAATTTGTGATCAGGTGACTTCTGATCGTTTGGAACCTATCAACATACAAATTTATATATTACTGTATTATTAATGTTAAGTCATTGATCGTTTATTGGGTCACAATCACCTGATCGTAAGTTTTTTCTGCCATCACTATGTTACCTACTTTTTATTGGTTCTGCACAAACATACAAGTATCTGATAAAGTTCGTATGTTTGCAACTCTAATCACAGTTTTTTTGTATTACTCTTGAAAATAAATTATAGTTATTGTATGGGTATGTAGTGAATAACCCAGTTACATACGGGTTCATATTCCATGCCGAAGGCACGGGATTTAAATATGAACCTGTGTATGTGACTGGGTTGTTTTCATACCTATACAATAATTATCTTATTGCACGGTGTCTGACGTAACAATCCCATGCCAATAAGTAAATAAAAAAAGCACAGGTTGTCACATAAGACCCGTGCAATAAGTGGTTACGTATTAAAGTCTGTATGTGCTTTGTCATGCGTTTGGAAATGTACAACGCAGATGATTACGTTACATAAAATTCAAAAAAAATAAAGTGCCTATATTTATAATTTATGTGTCTAGACAAATACAAATTTACTTACAACTTTACTCTTGGGCTTTACTCCCGGTTTTGAATTAATATTACAGTCGAACTTTACTTATTGCAATATTGATATAACAAATTTTGAATTTTCAAATAGTTATAAAACGCAGTAATTTTTTACTTTATAAAAAATAATGACAAATAATTTGACTGGTTTGACTAGAAGTTTCAAAATTAAAAAATATGATTTTACTGGATTTTCTAACTTAGAGAAAGTTGGTAGTGGTGCATTCGGGACTGTATATAAAGCAGCATAGGGAGATTTAACTATCGCTCTTAAATATGTTAATAGAAATGTTAATAATAGAAATATTAATACCAATAATACTACAATTGATGGTTTTACTAAGGAGGTAATATGCATTCTTGATATTCAAATAAATTATTATTATCTAAAAATTCTTTAATAGTCATTTTATTATATTTATAGCTTATTACTTTTGCAAAACTTGATACACATAGACACCCAAATATTATCAAATTTTATGAGACTACAAATGGTAATTAGAATAATGTGTCAATTTACATTATTATTAACTTTAACATACTTAACTTTATAAACAGACCCCATTAGTGACTATAATTATTTGATTTTACAATTTGCTGTGGATGGGAATTTACGTGAATACTTAAAGAGGAACTTTTCAAAATTAAAATAGTTTGATAAATTACGATTTGCTCAACAAATAGCTGATGGACTATCATTTTTACATGCTAACAGAATTTTTCATCAAGATCTCATAAGGATTCCTATATGTATATTTTTTAATTATCTTGAACAATTAATTTACTTTATTTTTTAATATATTTAATAGCATTCAAAGAATATCCTAGTTTATAATCGACAATTGTTAATTGCAGATTTGGGAATATCTAAACTAGGGATGTGATCCTGCTCATCTGAACTCTGTTCGTCCCTGTTCGAAACCCGAACCAGTTAAACAAGAGTTTTTTAATCATGTGAATTTAATTAAGAAAATGAAACTCAGTGTGCTCAAATCGAGTTCGAAATCGATTTTATGAGCAAAAAGTTCTGTATCTGTAATTTTTAACTTTTTAATTAATATCGATATGACGTAAAAATAAAAAAACTGTA